TAATTCTTTACCAGGAAATGCGTTTATGGTAAAATTTAGGAAAATGGGCGTGGCCCCGCCCACTTATATCACGATATATGTATTCGTGTAACCGTTCTAGCCAATTTGTACCAAACTCGGTATTTTATTGTGCTTGCCACATAAAAGCAAAACCGTTGAAAATTGTTGAAATCGGACTAAAGTTACGGCCGCTTTTCAAATAACAAGGCTCGGGTGACTACAACATATATCTTCCATACATCTGATTGTTCAGATATGGGAGTTTTATGTAAAACTCCATTTATTTGAGACAGCTAAAACCGATAAATTTCGTAAGTATTTGTATAAATAATAATACAAAGTCTACTGAGAAAATTGTCAAAATCTATGCTGTATAAGCTTTACCTCTCTATAGCCTTGATTGTTCTTCTGATACCAGTTATTGCGATATATCTCCTTTATGTTGGAAAGCTAAACCCATAAATTGTGTTACCGGTTTACATACCGATCACAAGCAGTGAAAGATCACTTAGATTGGTGCCATATATAAGGTACTATCTTCCATACTCTGATTGTTTAGATGATTTTTTATATAAGTATGTGTTTAGACGCGACTGCTAACACCAGGCGCCTAAATTCATGCTATGTACTGCTGCATGTGCAAAAATTTCCTTCATTAAATTAATGAAATTTATGTACATGCACTTCTCAACTGCCATGTAATAAAACTTTCTTAAGTTATAATTTGATGGCAGTTCAAAGTATGCTCTGCCTAGTCGGATGCATCCTCCGGACACTGCTTCCGGAGCATTCTGCGGACTCTGCATGGCTTACAACCATGCGGAGGTGGTAATAGTTGATTACCATTGGCCACAGTGCCTAACCACTACTTTTTGGTCCAATAAATATTTTTTTTATATACATACATGCAAACATACTGGTCTCCCCTCTCACTGAGTTATTCAGTATGTAACTCCTCTATCGATGTATGCAGATGTATTCAAAATCAGTAATCTGTCAAACTAAAATTTGCAGATGTTCATGAAAGGTATGAAGCCTTCGGCATAGCCGAAGACAGCGATGCTCGTAATTTACATTTTCGTTTTCCTTTCACGTCCTTTACGTTTGGCCAATGGTCATACTGATCAAATCGTATTTCTGGCGGTGGTAGATATGTCTTAGTTCTACCAGCACAACTACGAACTACGTCTTTTGGTGGTCGGCCAACAGGATTTCTTTCCTGCGGCGGCTGAAAAGTAGTAAGGACATCACCGACAAGGAATCTGAAATCAGGAAGCTCGACATGTTCATGATCCGTGTCATCCTTGTGTATTCGGCGATACAATAAGTACGAATTAACCACAGTCATATCGATGAAATGGTAAAATAAGCGATGCGAGTAGCTACATGTTTTTAGCCGAATCCTGTACCTCCCCAGTAGTCCATCCATAGTATCAACTCCACCCATATGCGCATTATATTCTGGGGAATAATGTAATTAGAAAAAATAAGGAGACAACTGACATATATAAGACAATGAAAACTACCATTTATAATATGCGGACAGTCGACTTCAAGATAATTCTTGTCTTTGCGGTCATATCTGATAGCTTTTGCAAGTTGCATTTGTCCATCGTTAGCCTTAGAAAATGGGAGATTACCAACGTATGTAGAAGCTAGGCATACGTTTTTTGTGTCTTTCCATTGTATAGTGGTCATGTCAACTCCGTACGCGCTACCGACGTATTCGATCACTTCACCACGTTTCATTTTTGACTCTTTGTCACTTGGCAATTTACAATTGGGGATTCTTTCACGTTTGATAGTTCCAAGGGAATATATACCTTTGCTCTTCAATAAGACCAGCAACGGTAGTGAAGTATAAAAATTATCAAAATAAATTATATGATTCACCATAGCTGGAACCGTTGCCGCTAGTCGGACAACAACATTAGACGTAGCTCCTAAATTTGGATAACCATTAGGAATGATATTATCGCCTGCGCCAGAGTAAAGCTCAAATCTGTACGCGTAACCATCAGAATCGCATGGAACGAATAATTTCATTCCCCATTTGTGTGGCTTCTTAGGCAGATATTGTCGAAAACGTGAATGCATCTTAGTAGCACACATTTGCTCATCTACACACAAACGTGGCTTTTTCGGAACCATAGCAAAGCGTTGATTTAGATGACCAATAATTGGACGAATGTTGAATTGTGTATCATAACCTGGCTCTCCCACTTTCTTCATATTAGACAAATCATTAAAACATAGGTATCTTCTAATTTCATAGAAACGTTTTGATGACATCGTTTGCTTGACTGGGGTTACCGCATGACGACCCCAATAGCGCTCAGCAGACGGCATTCGAATTACAGACATATATATCAGGATTCCTACAAATTTGCGCATTTCCGAAGTCGTAACACAAAAAGAGCTGCCAATATTTTGTCTTTTAGCATTCAGGTTTGTATAATGAACAATAGAATCAAAAATTTCGTCAGTGAAGAAAAACGCAAAACACTTATATGGAGTGTCCAAGCATGCTATTTCGTCGGGTAGTGAAAAATCACCGAGAAATGCAATTTCATTTACATGCTTCTGCATGTTTCCCTTACGCCACAAAATATTTTTTAATTCAATCGATTGAGTGTCTATCTCCATAGCACTACCAACAAAACCAATAGCATTTGTTTGAAATTGTGGACCTTCTGCATCGTATTGTGGTAGTGGAGATCTTGGCCGTTTCACAGGTTTTTTTGACAGACGAACTACTGTTGCTGTTATTCTTTCTCTTTCAATTCCTGTTGTTGATGCCGATTGCTGTACTGATGATGTAGATGGTAGTTCTTCTGATAATGATGTGTGCGTTGGAGTAGTGTTTACTGCATTGGAACCGTTATTCACATCACTCAGGTTGCTCGTATTTAAGATTATATTGATTGATTGAGAAAGATATTCAGAAGAACTACATCGTCCTAAATTGGAAACACATCGTGAAATTTGTGCTTCATATTCGGCGGAAATTTCTTCCACTAAAGTGCTACCGTTATTTTCAGAATCAAGCTCTTCAATTTCTGGCTGATAATCTGGATCGTCAACACTATCATCGCTGTCTTCAAATATACCTTTACCATCGTCTTCAAAATCCGACTCAAACTCTTCCGGGTCTCCAGCCATCAAATCGTCGATTTCTTCATCAGTCAGAGCATGGATTTCTGCAAAAGTCCACCTGTTCCGTCCAGTCACTCTACTACGTCTCGTAGACATTTTTCTGCAGGAAAATTACGAATCACCATACTATCATGATCATTCAAATTCAATAGCGACGTTTTGCCTGCACCTTGCAACACCGCTTAGAAGCGGTCTATGTATAATGGAAGGTACGACTCTTCCAGTCAAAATATCACAATAAATAAAATACCCATGTAAAAATATATTATTTTTACTTACCAGCTATAATTTTTTTAATTAAAAAAAAACAGGTGATTTTTTTGTTCTTATCAGAAAAGTTTGAAAAAACACTGCACCAATTTTTACACGCACCTGCACTGACTTCACAACTTTAAATGAATATGACACAGAATTGAGATCACCGATTTGAATAATTTTTTTTGCAACGACTATATAAAGGCTGATTTATTTAAAAAAAATTACCAAACAATAAATAATCACGCCCCACTAGGTGAATTTTGGTGTCTAACTGTTGACCGCTTTAAAGNTGGTGTCTAACTGTTGACGGCTTTAAAACGGTCTTGCCTGCTAGAGGGTTAAAATATATTAAGGAACCATCATAAAATTAGGACTATTTCTGGATTTTTAACTTTTTGATATTTTCTTCCCCAACTTTGACTATCTCGGGTGAAAAAAAATGTACTGAGCTATAACTTTACATTACATAAAAAAATTGCTCATTTAATAA